TCAATCCTGGAAGTGTAGAATCTTAGTGTGTGGACATTTTTTTGCTGGCCCCTTTTCAGTTATGGGAGCTTGTAGCTTTGCTAATTTATTTCTAGGTAAGATTCCTGGGTAGAGCCCCCTGGAGAGGGCAGGGTTAGGGATTAGGAGAGAATCTTGTATAAAAAGTAGAAGGGATAATTTCATCTACAAAGGACAATTTTTTGTGAGTAGTTCACAAATGTAGTACTTATGTAACTGGAAAAAGGAGGGCTCTCTATGTTGGAATATTACAAAGTCATACATTTTATTATATTTAATTTGATTGTCACACACAACACAGGTTTTCAAAATCATAAGAACTTATTTGAACAACAGATAAAGCAAATTATTAAGTAATCGAAGAGGTGTCATATGGATATGCCAGAATCACAATATTGATACACACATGACTGAGGCTTAGGGGACACTACTGGACAGTAAGGTCAAGAACACTACTGTAAGAAGCTTCCAGCCTTGCAAGGCCAGAGACCCACAGTGAGAGCAACAAATCTTCACAGTGTACAGAGGGCTGGTTATTCCACAGCAGAAGGCAGGTACAGAGATGATGGCAAGCAGGCAGCTCACACAAGCAGGATCTTGGCACTGGTAAGAACCGAGATCTGCAGACATGCCTCACTTAATGATGGTCATGTGTTCTGAAAAGCATATTAGGCAATTTCACCACTGTGCAAACACAACAGAGTATACTTACAGAAGCCTAGATGATACAGCTCTGCATGTCTAGGCTGTGTGTACAGATTACAAATCTATGCAGCATATCACTGTCCTGAATGCTGCAGGCAATTGTAACATAGTGGTATTTGTGTATATAAGCATTTCTCAACTGTAATAGTGATAATACAGCATGGTGGGAATTTTTCATTTTCATAATCTTAGAGCCAACTGTATTTGATATAGTTCACCATATATGACACCCAATTGTGTACACTGGTATTCCTTTATTGGCTGGGATGTCATTCAGTGGTTTATGCCTCTACTCAATAGCCATCATTGAATTTTATTTTCAAATAGGAAAATGGAGACATGGCAACTAAATGGAGAAGCACCATTTCCCTTATTTGTATTGAAAACTGAATCTATAAATGGAATTTCTAGTTGATTCTTTCCCTCTCCTCTTCTGTGTTGCTGCATGCTGAGTCTGGGTGGAAAGCCTCCTCTTGGGATGAGACCCTCATCAGACCTGAAGGAATCCTTGGTAATTTGACACCATAATTCACTTCCCAATGAAAATGCTTGGCCCATGTTTAGACCAAAAATCTGCTGTGAACTTCTGGTTCCTTCTCTTCTCCATTCTCAGTAGGAGCTCCAGCAGGCTTATTCTGGAGGGACACTCTTAACCCAGCAACGCTGGCCTAAACCCATGTTTTGGAAGGTAATTGGCTAAGGGGGAGAGGAGGAACTAAGCCACCCACTCCTCAATTAAAAATCACCCAGGAAAAGCCACTAGTAGTTTTCATGCCCAGGATCATGCCTCTGGGTGTTCTTTTTATTTTCCCTGAATAAATGAATGAATGAATGAATGAATGAATGAATGCTGGTAGCCCCCATGTGGAGTTCCTGTTTGTCACAGATAAATGGATCTGCTCAGATCCTTGACTTGAGCTGCAGTCCCTGTAACCCTCACCACAACTGCCTTTTTAGAAAGCAGGGTGTCATTACCTATCCTCATTCCCTCTTGCCTGTTGTCCCCAGCTGCTGGAGTCAGCTCAGCTTTAGGACAATTCTGTGGGCTGAAAGGGCAAGCTTCTCCTCTTGTAATCTCAATCTGTGTAGGAATGGAGGTCCTGTGTTAAGGAAAGTGCCAAACTGTCATGGGAAGAGCATGGACCAGCACCGACCTGGATTCAGACCCCAGCCAACACTAACATGCTGGGCATACTTGAACAACCTGCTTAATCTTAATGATTCTTAGTCTCTCTTCTGGAGAAAGATGGCACCAGTTGGGTTGTTTGGTCCTTCAACAAGAGTGAGAGCATGCTCACCAAGTGGTTCCTGTGTCTTCTTGGTCTTGGCTTTCAGTAGTTGATGTCATTTAGTCTCTTCTTTCCCTCCAACCTACCTTATTTTGTTATATGTGCGCATGCACGCAAGTGTGTGTGTGTGTGTGTATGTTTAACTGAACAACTGTCATTTGAAACCAAATATTTAAAGAGTATTTTCAAATAATAATATTGTTATGTGTTTTTCTCATTTAATCTTAAAACTATTCTAAACAATTTTTTAATGGAAGACATCAGTGGCTTTTGAAACATTTGTGACTGGCCTTGTGTGAGAGAATGGCCCCTGCTACTGGGAGCTCCCTTATCTTCCTGCAGAGTTTCAGGCTGTCTTGAGTCAGTTTTCAGGCTCCAAGGTCACAGTTAGAGCTTGCTTGAAGCAGTTACATAATCTCCATGTTCTCATCGACTTCTTCATCTGGAAAACGTAGGACTACTAATGTTTGTTAGGGATGAAAGAACACAGGACAGAGGCTCAACTCTGGTGGGTAGAAGAGAATATTCTAATGTCAAGGAGAGGCAACCCAGACTTTTGTGGGAACTAAGATCTGATCTAACCTAGAACTTTGGACCAAGCTTTGATAGTAGACATTAGGAGAGGGATCTATACTCTGCTAGGTTTTTATTCAATTCTTTTGGTGGAGATAGAAGAACCTAGTCAGTATGAGAGCTGAATAGCAGAAAGGAAAACGCTGAAACTGACTCTATCTGTGCATGGGGAGCTTCCCAAGAAGGGTCTGAGCACATCCCAGCAGGATCTGAGCAGGTTGTATCTGTAAGTTGGTGAGTTGGCTGGGTTTACATAGTATGCAAATGGACTTACAATTTGCCCTTATTAGGCCAGTATCACCAGGTCCTTTGGTTTATGAGCCAGATCTTCTACTGTCAGTGGAGTCCACGTGAATCAAGTTGAGGTCTTGTTAACTATGTGTGCTTGCAGACTTTACATAGCCAGTCTATCTCCTAGGTTTCTCGCCTGCAGACTGAAGACAACAGTACTTATTTCAGAGTGGTCTGAAGATTAGAGACGATGATTTGGATAGAGTAACTAGCCACAGTGACAGCTTTAATATTTGTCAGTATCAGCATCCAATTAGCACTCAGAAAAGGGCATGGGATATCAGAGTATGGTTCTTCCGAGGGTTTATCTTTGCTTATCTATGTGGTTGGAGTCCTTTAACACACATGGAACACAGGGCTGGGCACAGAGAACTGGCATATCCTATTTCCCCATATGTTGTATTTGAAAAAATTTAGAGATATGATATTCAGAAAAGGACTACTGAGTACATTAACATGGACACACCTTGAGGATGCTAACTGAAATAAGCCATCCACAAAAGAACAAAGGCTGTGTAACTTCATGTAGAGTAGGTGTCAGGAATAGTCAGATTGACAAAGCAGAAAGGAAGGGCGTTTACCAAGACTGGGGGTGGAGTTCAGTTTTGTAAGATTTGTAATGGTTCTGATAATTGATTGCACAGCACTGAATGATTTAACATGACTGGACTGAACTGAACAGTTAAAGATAATTAAGAAGGGACCTGGAGAGAATATTCAATCAACATAATACTTGCTGTATAAGTATAAAAACCCAAATTCATATCTCTAGCACCCATGTAAAAAGCCAAGCATGGTGGCACTTGGCTAAGATCCCAGAGCTGGGAAGGTGGAAGCAGTTGGATCTCTGAAACTTACTGGCCCACCAGCTGGCCTAGCCAATTCCAGAAACTGCTGATTCTGTGAGAGACTCTGACTCAGAGAATTGGGTGGAGATTGAGAGAGGAAGACAACTGACATCAAACACTGCTCAATATTTATCTTAATAAATATGGTACCAAGGTGTGTGGGAAAGCCCATGTAAGCTTAAAAGTCACTAAATTTAATCGTTAGTAACTATCGTGAATTCTAGCCCCCTACTCTGGAAAATACATCTCTATAAGTAAAATGTAAAGAACGATATGTACACTATGGTATTTATGTGACTAAGAGTCAATAAAGTATCAGAGATGATAGAATTCCATGGCAATTGTACAACCTGGGTGTTCTGTGGAGACACTGGAAAGTGAGTGACTATAGACAGTCACATTAATCATTTCATGAAAAATAATCTTTAGCCTTTGTTATAGCAAAATTTCTATGTTTTTCATATAACATTTTCTTTAGACAGAAATACTGTTAGATAATTATTCTCTTTTGTAACAGATTATGAAATGTAATTTTCTCTTTGTAAAGTACATTTATTTAAAGGGTATAGTGTGAGTAATTTCAATTTGGACATAGCTTCTCCTTTATTTCAACTGGAAACCCTATTAACTAAACTGTTAATTAAAATTTTCAAGCAACATATGGATTTAGAAATGAGTCCTGAGTATCTCATATCATCAATTCATCACAGACAATAATTAGAAAATATTTGAGCTTCATTGTATAGATATTTTTACTACCTTTTTAGCAGAATCTCAATCTAAGATTAAAGATTAAAGATCTATGGGATAGTTCAATGATGTTGGTGCCCCAGACCAATGTCAGGAGTTGAGGAGACCTCCTGAAATGCAGGTTGGAACATGAACAGCACCAATCATATAGACACTTGGCATCACTGAGAATGATGCTTCATTGTGCCAAAACCAAGGACATGTTGCCAAGTTAGCTATCCTTCTCTTCTCCAAGTGTTTCTGCTGCTCAGATCCTCTGCACACTGAAGAGGCTCCATCACTGCCAATGTCATGATGAGCTGCAAGGCCTTCATGTTAGACACAGGGTTCTTGTTTCAAAGACTCGAGGAGAGGAAGATGGGAAGGCATTTCCTGGGGCTCAGGATATACTGCCTCATAAGCTTCTGGTAGACTCTTTGGAAATCCATCCCACCACCCTGTTACCCATGGTGTGGACTGGTACTACCAGGGTTCCTGATTGGGAGTCTGTCTGCTAACTGCTCTTCACTCATTGTGTTTCTCTTAGGAACTGGTGAAAGTGGGAAAAGCACCTTTATCAAGCAGATGAGGATAATCCATGGGTCTGGCTACAGTGATGAAGATAGAAAGGGCTTCACGAAGCTGGTTTACCAAAACATATTCACCGCAATGCAAGCCATGATCAGAGCAATGGACACCCTGAGGATACAATATGTGTGTGAGCAGAATAAGGTACCATACTTGGGAGGGTTGGCTCTACGTGTGAATGTGTGCCTTCCTATTGGATGCTTGGGAGGGTTGGCTCTATGTGTGAATGCATGCCTTCCTATTGGATGCTTGGGAGGGTTGGCTTTACGTGTGAGTGCACATCTTCCTATTGGATGCTTGGGAGGGTTGGCTCTATGTGTGAATGCATGCCTTCCTATTGGATGCTTGGGAGGGTTGGCTCTACGTGTGAATGTGTGCCTTCCTATTGGATGCTTGGGAGGGTTGGCTTTACGTGTGAGTGCACATCTTCCTATTGGATGCTTGGGAGGGTTGGCTCTATGTGTGAGTGCATGTCTTCATATTGGATGCTTGGGAGGGTTGGCTCTATGTGTGAGCGCACGCCTTCCTATTGAGATAAGTGAAAGTCTTTGAACAAAAGGGTTTGCTAAGTGCTTTGGTCGAATGCCAGAGTACTTGAGGCATCTGTAGTGGAAGAGCTACTTGGGGCATCCGATGGATTTAGTTAGTCCTGTTGATCTTATGTCTGCCAGAAATTTTCTGTAGGAAATGAGGCTGTGGTGTTGTGTGGCATATAGGGAATCTGAAACTTGGGCATTTGTTGAGGTTGCTCATTTCAGTGACTAGAAGAAGATGCCATTTTCCATTTAAGTCAAGAGACCCATTGTTTGCCTCAGTGGGGGAAATGATGATGCCGATTTTACAGCGTCTAACTTTTCAAGAACTCTCAGTCTCAGGAAATATTTTCACTAAGGCACTGTAGACTACTGAGAGAAATTGGTTGAGTTTGTTTGTGTTGGGAGCTGGCCCTTCTTGGGAACTAAGTGACATTTTACGAAAGCAGTTCTGGTGTCCCAGCTAGTCAAGTGCTCTCATGATGTGAGCATGCCAAGCTGAAACTTGCTTTCTGTCACTGGTCATTAGTGATGCAAATCTCCTAACAATGAAGGAAAAAGAAAAGGCAAGGAAGGTGGGGGTGGCAAATAGAATTGCCTGCACTACACTGGAACACATTGGAGTTTATTTTGAATCCAGATTAGACATAAGAGTTTAGCCAGGTGCCTGTAATTCTAGCAGCTGGGAGACAGAGACCGTGGGATCATGAGTTTAAGGCCAGCCTGTGCTACATAGTAACACCCTGACTTTTAAAAATGAAAAACAAATGTTTTTATTTCAAATAACCAATACTGTATGAGGATAAAAATAATTCTGTGTCAAATGAACCTCACAAGAATCTATTTAAAAATGATGTTGATGCTAATAGTGCAAAACGGTATGCCCTTCAGGATGGATAATTTTATCAGCACTGTGGCACCTGTACTTATGTGCATCTTCTATATACGACAAAGAAAATTCCAAAGCAACTAAAGAATTTAAAATTCTATTTTTTGGCAATTCTTTATTTAGTACTCAATATGCATCAGATTGTTGACACTGTCACATTGTTGGTACAACTCACTCATTTACCATCATTTCCTTATAGTCTCAAAGGTCCCATGAAGGACTATGTCCTGACTATATAGTTCAACTTCTAGCAGTCACACTGGAAGCATGTGGAGTGAACTAATATGCAGAAATACATATGCAAGGTGCATGCTAAGCCACTTGGGATGTTGTAAATGCACATGATTGTGAAAATCCACTCATCCATGGCTTTTCAGTACAACAGTCTATTGACACCCTACATAGCATCCTAAAGCCGGGCTTTCTGTGGAGATCTCTGACTCTCTTAGAGAGGAAGCAAGGTGGGAATGGCCTCCCGGTGATTCCTGTCATATTGTTTTCCCTGGCTGCAGGCTGCAGTTTCTTTGTTGGTCATAGTAAGGTAGCTGGTGAAGCTTGGGATTCAGGAGTGGGTTTATAAATAGAACAACTGATGAGAAGGCTCAAGTGCAAACCAGTTTTGCTTCCCTTGCTAATGTGTTCTTAGAAACCTAATCAAATTTGGTAGTCAAGACCTCTGGGTTTCAGTTTTTGTTTGGTTTTCCTTTGTAGTCTCTTAACAGTGCTCTGAGTTTATATTTTAAACAAAAAGTTTGTATGGGGCTTTGACATTCCATTACTTTCTCCTGCTTGCTTGGTCTACACTCTTTTCCATATACCATCCCTGCATGTCTCCATTCATTTCCCCAGGCTGCAGCAACTACATATCTCAATCAGGGTGCCTACAAACAAGATTGTTCTCTTGCAGCTCTAGATGCTGAAAGTCAAGGTTAATTGGTACCAACTGGAGGCACTAGAAAGAAATCTATTTCCCCCTGGTCTGGTTATTAGAAGTCCAAGGCCGGTGTTGGCTTGTCCATGTGTTACTCCAGTCTCTGCATCTATCTGCACGTGGTACCCCTGTGTATCCGTGTGCTTATGTAGTAGTGTCTTCTCTGTCTGTGTTCAAATCTCCCCCTTACAAGGCCACCTCTAATCAAGGATGACCTTAATTACCTCCTAGTGACACCATTTCCAAATAAGATTATACACTGAGGGGCTGGAGAGATGGCTCAGCAGTTAAGAGCACTGCCTGCTCTTTCAGAGGACCTGGGTCAATTCCCAGCACCCACATAGCAGCTCACAACTGTCTGTAACTCCAGTTCTATGAAATCCAACACCCTCACACAGACATGCAAACAGACAAAACACCAATGTATGTAAAAATAAATAAATGTAAGAAATTAAAAAGACAGATTGCACTTTGAAGTTCTAGGTAGACATGATATTTAGTGGCAACACTATTCAGCAGTGCAGTCTTCCCTGTGTGCAGGGTACATGAACAAAATAAAGACTTTCCAGGTTAAACTTTACCTAAGTGATATAAGTTTATCACTTCTCGTTTATTCTATTATTTGTTTAGGTAATTTTCTTCCATCCCTTCCTTATTGTTTTTCTCTTGTCTGTTATTATGAGCTAGTCCTGAATCTGAAAATGAAACCATAAAAAATACCCATGTTTAAGACATAAAATGAAAAACTGATTGGTCTGCTGGAGTGGTACAAGCTTGTAACCCCAGCACTTGGGAAGCAGAAGGAGGAAGATTATGAGTTTGAGGCCATCCTGGGCTGCATACCCAGTTCCAGGCCAATCTCAACTACATAATTCCCTGTCTCAAGAAAAAAAATAGATATGTGCTATCTTCTTTACAAAATACTGGATAACGAAATAATTGCTCAGTTAAACCAAGGACAAAGGAAAAAGAACTTAGCTTTCATTTCACAGTATGAAACCTTTCCTTCATTTCTTATTGATGAATATTCTATGAATATTTTCCATTTCTTGTTGCCTCTGGTGTGTGTGTGTGTGTGTGTGTGTGTGTGTGTGTGTGTGTGTGTGTGTGTGTGTGTTTTCACAGCTGGGAAGTCTGTGGATGTGAACTAAAGGCTGTTGCAGAAGGTTTTGAGTGCTAGTGAGATCACTGTGACTCTGGTTTGTTGAAATCTTTGCTTAGTGCTTGAAAGACTGCTTATTTAAGAAATTTAGATTACTATTTTTTAACAAACTTGTTTTTGAAATTCAGAGATAGCCTTTATTACTTTCTTAAAGCTTACATACTTTAGAGACATGATTCCCATGTGTTTGTTCACTCTGTTGATAGGCTTTGTGTTTTATAAACATGTTAGAACAGGTGACTCCTGGACTAAATAGTCCACAGGCATTTGCTCATTTTCCTCTTGACTTTTCAGTGAAATCAGAAGGGTTCCGTGCTTTTTGTTGTCCATGGCATTGAGCTTGGAGCCCTCATCACAGGCCATCTTTACTCACAAGCAAATGTTTTCATCCTTAAGGTTTACAGACCTGCATGCATAATTAGAAACAGCCTCCTACAGGACAACCCACCTAGATTCTCACAAACCCTTTACTTCTAGATTTGAAGCTTCCTAGGAACAGGGAAGGTTGCCACCTGCCTCAGAAGCCAGCCCCAGCCGCTTCCCTGCCCTCTGGCTTACAGAAACTGTGCAGTGGACCAGGTTCCTGTAACTTACCTCCAGTGACAGCTCATCAGAGCCATAAATAAATAACAAGTTTTTATAAGGAGAGTTAATGACTAAGCAGTAAGGGGAAAGTCATAGAAACTCATGGAAATTCCCAGCTATGGAAACACATACATACACCCCAAGAAATAGAAAATAGAAATTCATTAATAAATTAAGGAAAGGCTTCATTACTATGAAATAAAAGCCAATTAAGGATTTTTTTTGTCCTTGGTTTAACTGAACCATTATTGCAGTAACTAGAAACTCTAGATGTACATCTCTACATCTCTACAGAGAGGCATCAGCCTCTCACTAGAAACAATTGCTGACCTCAAAATCTTCCTAACTGTTGATGAGCAACACATATACACATGCATGTACACACATGCACATACACACACAATGTACATACATATTTACATACATACAAATACATGTCTGTGTGTCCTCCACCTACAGTTCCAGGTCTCAGACCCTAAAAGCTTGTGTGAGGAAGCCAGGCACAGTTCAGGAAACATGGTGAATTTATGTCACATTTTAGCGGGACAGTTTCTCAGGGCTTAGAGTATTTTAAGATCTTATTTTCTAATTTCTAAAACATCTGTTTAAATATATTTTTCTGTCCCACTTCCTCATCCAGTTCGAAAAGTCGGGTTCTGCAAACCTTTGGGAACAGCAAGGCCGATGTTCTGACTTGGGCTGCGGCCCAGAGTTGCTGGTTTTCAGTTAAATGTTAACCTCAGGGCCCTACTTCCCATGTCCCCTTGGATATTAAAAACCACACGGTATAGTTTTACTGAGAACTTGGAGTTCTACCTGGTGTATAGTAAGAACAAGAAATTCTCCACTGGAATCCCAGGCGGAGGATTAGATTAATCCATGTTTTCCCTGGGGTGGGCATGGTTGTCACTTGAAGTGTGTGAGTTTGGGAAATAAAGAATAAGATGATAGTAAGTGGCTCTCTCTGAATTTTTCATTACAACTAAACCATGCAGCCTTTTAAGCCTGATTGGTGAGCAAAGAAGTATAAGGACAAATGATGAG